GCACAAAGTCTGACGTCGCTTCAGGTCAGATTTAGTTCGAAGTCAGATAGATGCTACTTGGGACATGGCGTACACAGTTAAGTTGGTTAGTTTGGATTTAAATCAAAGATACTACTGTTTTTTAAATGAAACGACAACACTGTAACTGTAAAAATAATTTGCGTCAATGGAGGACATGCATTTATGTAAGATTTCAAATTTTCAAAAAAAAAACGTGTAACCTACCATTCACCGTGAATCACCCTGTATAAATAGTTTTAAAAATAATGTGATGATTATGTTAGCTGTTAAATAACTTTCCATCATTAGTTTTTCTTTCTATCACTCACTAACCATGGAAAGTGAAATACAATTATTATCTTAAATTTAAAAGTGACTAGAAAATATAATTTACACAATTTCATACTTAAAATCTTTGCAAATCAACAAAAACTTTTAAAATACATAATTAACAATCGATCAGTTACTATTTTGTATAGCATTTTTTTTAATTAGCTACATAATTATTTTCTTTTGTTAATAATTTTTAATATAACTTAATAAATATTTAAAGCTCATACTTTTTCAATAATTTATTTCGCAACTAATAAAATATATTTTTTTGTTATATGGTTAAATACATTACAATAGATTATTATTACCGAGTTTAGTTTTTAGTTTAAGTTTAAATGCGTATAATTTTTTGGTCTCTGAACATTTAACCTGATCACTGGTATCATTAAATGCAAAAAAACATAATAATTTAAACCCAGTTATATATAGATGTAAATTAAACTATACCTACATATTGTAATCATATCAGTGCCAGTTACAACATATTAAATACTATCGGTTCTAAGTAAGATATTACTGTTAATTGAAGAAATAAGAAGATGCGCAACCTTATGGCCGATTTCATGGCATAAAACCTGTCCGAGATGTAGCTGGCGATACTGTCGTCGCTAGTCGGCCTGTCTGAGATTTAGTTCAGATCTGCGCCACTGCGCGCTGAAGAATGAAGAATACTGTACCCAAGGTTATTAAAAGATAAAGTTGTCTCGTAACTCGATCCGCCATTATCGAAAACATCATCTACTACGTCATAGGAATGATACCACTCATAGATAAAGGGATAAAAACTGCCGACAGTGCATTTCCGAATCGATATTCATTGTGTACTTTATTGTTTATAGTGTATGTCGTCAATAGTTTTCAGTTGTTTGTATATCTCTCTTTGTCGGTTGCATTTTATTTTTTATTCCTTTTATCTATGATTTTATACGTTCTGTCTACGTCAGAAGGATGCTATTCCGCTTCACTCCTATTGGTCCAAAAAGACAACCTTATCTTTTAATAACCTTGTACTGTACCGTAGTTCTGCTTTCAGTCGACAGAGTGGGTGGTAGCCGGAGACAGTGTTGCCAGAACTACGGATTAATCCGTAGATTTACAGATTTTACATTACAGTACGTTAATAATACGGATTTTCTATCATTAAACAATTTAATATAATTTTATATGATTAAACAAAGAACAGCGTCAAAGTTGACTTGAAAATGAAGGTCCCTATTATTTCATATATGAAAAATATTATGGTAAATGTCAACAGTCGTCATTTTCAAGCCAACTAAATTACTATTTTCTACCATACAAAATATTCAGTACCTATAAAAAATTTTTTATATTTGTTGTATATTCTATGTTTAACACGAATAAATTTTCAATACACAAACGCGGATTTTACATTCAAAGATATTTTAGCAACATATCACAGATATTACACATTTTAATATAGCAACACTGTCGCTTTCGAATTAGAGAAAATGAAAGTTTTATGCGTTGGCCGCAGAACGAGTAGTGGCTCCACCGTACAGTACTTGAGACGTAAGGGGAAATCAAATCAGCCTTGTCACGATTTTGCCCATTAGGTTTCGTATCTTCCCAATTCTTTCAATCAACGATACTACTGTAAAATAAATACTAGAGCCTTCGAAATCAAGCAATCCACGTGTAGCGTAGTAACAGTAGTACCCAAAACCGATGTTCCAAATTCAGTAGATCTATCACATATTGACTAAAAATGTTCGAATAGCAACTTTGTAAATGTAAGCAAAATTTAATCTGAATATTATACCATAGATAAAAAAAATAAATTTAGGCTGGAATTCTCGGCTTCACGTCAAAAGTTATAATTATTTTCGAACGCATATATTGTAGGGAGCTACTAGCGGTTGTTAAGAATAACAGCAAAGAAAAAAAACATCCTGGTTGAAAAAATACCGAACAGTGTTTAAAATCTTTTTAAAGTTATTACTGCAATCTTGTGAGTTTAATTTAAATTTTATTTAGGAAAACCCGTGATAATCTATCTAAACTAACTCAACTTAAAAAAGTGATGTGTGAACAACTACCAAAAAAAAAACACCGTGGGGGTAAAATATCGGTTTCCAAAAAGTGACACATATATTTTCTAATGTTGGGTTAAACCTGGGAGATATGAGTTGTTATTTGCGACTCAACATTATAATAAATATAATATTATGATAATTATGCTTCTTTATTATATTTATTTTAATTCTTCTGGTTACTTGGTATACAAAATAATGGTTACAAAATCCCGCTTAAGATGGACTGGTCACATATGCAGAATGCAAGAAAACCGCATACCAAAATCTCTGCTTTACGGTGAGCTTGTAGACGGTAAAAGGAGGCCGCGTGAACAACTCAAAAGATACAAGGATATTTTCCACAAAAACTTATAGGGAATTAACATGCAGAATGAGTGGGAAAAAGCAGCTCATAATCGAACGCAATGGAGAAGAATTATAAACTCAGTTAACAACGACAACCAAAAAGTAAAGAGGCGACAAAGCACAGAATATCTAGCTACGCAACAGAAGCCTCGTTACATGTATAAAACTGTAGGTAGCAAAAGGAGACAGGCTTTTAAAGTCTGTCTCCAAACCAGATATTTTGGGGCGGTAGTTTCGCTACTACATAATAGAGGGCAATAAATTTAAAAGAAAACAGTTTTCTACAAACAAAATTTAAACGAATTTTGTGCACTGTTGCCATTGTGTAATTCATATTGTAAGACTTCCTGATAAAGCATACCTTCAAATTTGCTACATCAGTTAAACATATTAAAATAGATCAGAGCTCTTTTTTCAAACGTTTAAGTATTTAATTTGCCATGTCAGTTGGAATTAGATCTTACGAGCTGAATTACAATCACTTCATGACGTTTGATTGTGTAATTGAATCCTAAATTTTGATTGTAATTCGGCGACGATATAAACGTTCAACAAAATGACGTTCGATTGTATTCATACCGTATAATCGGGAAAAACGGCGTTAGCGATGGCTATGAAATGAAGATCGCTGTCATTTTATGTGTAAATTTATATGGGAAATGTCATCAATCGTCCTTTTCCAGCTAACTGGACGCCGTTTTTTTCGGTATCATACGGTATTTGATATATTTATACTTGCGTATTACTCATGACATTACAATATTATGGTACCATGAAGCATATCAAGTGGCAACATAATATAGTACCATACTACATACATGGCGTTTGATTGGGCTTAAAGTTGGTTACGTATCTTCGGTGACATTGTAATATGATGGTACTGTGATGCATATAAAGTGGTACCTTAATATAGTACCATATTTCAATACCATTTCCTGGCGTTCGATTGATCTCATATTTGATATATACTTGCATTATTATGGTACCATGAAGCATATCAACTGGTAGCATAATATAGTAATATAGTACCATATTACGTACATGGCGTTCGATTGGGCTTAAACTTGGGATACTACGTATCTTCGGTGACATTATAATATTATGATACCATGGAGCATATGAAGAGGTACCATAATGTAGTACCATATTACGATACCATTTTCTGGCCTTAGATTGGGCTTAAACTTGGTATACTACGTATCTTCGGTTACATTGTAATACGATGGTACTATGATGCATATAAAGTAGTACCTTAATATAGTACCATATTACGCTACCATTTCCTGGCGTTCGATTGTGCTTAAATTTGGTATACTTCGGATCTTCGGTGACATTGCAATATTATGGTACCTTAAAGCATATCGAGTGGTACCATAATATAGTACGCTATTATATCATTTACTGGAGTTCGATTGGGCCCAAATTTGGTATATGGTATACTTGCGTTTCGTTATAAATATTTGTTTAATTAATAATTTTAATTTATTTTACGAATTTTAATTTATTTTCCGATGTCGTGACAGCAACTTTTATGCCGAACTAATATATTATTAATTGTACCTGTGTCACTTTTTAAAATCTACCTAGGTCTATATAAATAACGTGGCAAACAGAAGAAATTTGTTATTATAGTATTTTAGTCGATTTTTTGTACTGCATTTTAATAAATTATTTCCCGTATTATTAAACTTATGTGTCATTACTAACGTTCCAGCATTAATAAATATCACTATTAATCGCCCTGTATATTATTAATTTTAAAGGTATTTAAAGGTATTTTCTTAGTTAACATTATAAGGTAGTATATATTAAAAATGTATGTTTTGTAATAATATACTTAAAACTATTTTAAGAGTCAAACGAATAATTAATATAAGTGTATCTGACAAGAAAAGAAGAATAGAAAGAAATTATTATCCACAAGAAAAAGAACGGGATGCCAATTAAAGTATTTTAGAATCTGGCAACTGTGCATATTTAGCCGACCTACAAGGCCGTCGACGAGCCGTCGATCCAAAACCGAAAGTTCAAAATTTCCAATTATATTCTGATTATGATATTGTCGCGCCATCTAGTACTCTATTTGTGCAATTTTAGCTCTTTCATTTCGAGTATTTTTCTGTTGGGTAGCTAGATATTCTGTGCAACAAAGCAATGAGATTTTTGAATGTCCGGAGTGCGGTAGACAGATATCATCACGTATCGGGCTTTTCAGTCACAGAAAAGCTCATGAAAGAAAACGCCTTGCGTGACCACCTTCTGATGCGTGTCAAATACTCGTCAGTGAGTAATGGCAGTAGCATATAGTAGTATAATTCTTCTTATTTAAAATAAAGGTTGTTTTAGATCAATCAAACTCTATTTATGACGATTAATGATAATAATCATTATCGATAAATAAAATAATAAAAGAAAGAAAAAAAAATAAATCATGAGTAATAAAAATAAAAAAAAAAGACGAACCGCTATGAAATCATCAGAAGCTTTGGATCGCGTCCACTGCAAAAACAGCGCCAAATAGTATTCACATTGTTCATATGGGCACTTACAATATTCGGATTGTCACGGGGTTTCTAACAGGACACTGTCTCTGTGCGAAAAATAGGGAAACACCAGAACACCTTATCACTGAGTGCGCCGAGACGACAACTTTCGTGCCATAAACTTTAGTACGGCTGATCTGGTGGAGCCGTCTTAGATACTGGATTTTGTCAAGGCTCTGAGACTGTATGATGAGTTATAACTCGTTATACATCAAGAAAGTCACAATAGATCTGTAAGGTCGCGGTGATTAACCTCCCTCCGAAACATTCTATGGGAATTGCCAATATAAACTTATTTCAATTATCTATATATATATGGTATATTACACTCTCATTTCAAATTGCTAATCATTATGTGACAAATCCCCGAAAATCTCGTTGAATTTGCAACTGAGATTCTTCATTACTAAATATGGCAAATATAACACAAAATATTCTCTTAAAAATAAAAATGGCAGTACAATAAATTTCTGAGGAATGTTCCTATTTTTTTTTCGTATGGCGAATGACAATTTCAATCTCTATTATACATTAAAAACTTAAATCTAACTGAGAAATATTCGGGCTGTGGAAGAAATAATCTTTAATGTGGTCCAATACATCACAGTGTAACAATAAAAAAATTGTAACGCTACTCATTGGTCATTTCAGACGATGAACTAAAAAGAGATAGGTACATAAAAATACAGCTAATGTGTATAAATATAAAAGTATTAAGATGTCAATATTTGAAATACACTGTGGTCTATATGTCAGATGTACAAACTATAGTATGGTTACTATAGTCTATTAAATACTATAGTTACTATACTATAGTTAATTAGTTACTATTAATTACTATAGTCTATTAAATTACTATAGTTTATTAAATTTTTTCAGTTTTATAGAGTTTTTTTTTCATATTTTGAAGTAATCATTCGTCACTAAAATTTTAAAAATTACCTTAATTTCTTGTACAGTTTAGTTCCAATTGTACCAACTAATTTCTTTGTAAAATAAAATAAACTATGTAATTTGAAATTAAAATGACAGACTCATCTATCACTGTCAAGGATTTTGTAGTTGGACATACTATAGATGGCGTGGACCACATTGGATTAATCCCCCTCTATGAGAAGACTTACGAACTATACCCCGTCTGCCTTTTTCGCTTGAAAACCAGAGCAAAGATGCTCCTTAATCGCCACCATTTGCTGTGCCTTCGTAGTTTGCGTTCGTTGTCAGGCGGGCCCGTGCTCTCGCGCTCCTTGGCCCTGATTTCCCTCACTAATGTGTGAAAGGCGTCGTCTACGTAGGTTCGGAGGCAGGCGGACGTTTCATAGAAGGGACAGCCGAACTGTCGTGCCAGAGATTTCCCTAAATGCCCAGAATTTATTAGTTAGTTTGGTATTATCAATAAAAGAAAACAACCACACTAATATAATATATTAATAGTAAAAGAAAACAACCACAACAAACCAGAGTGCAATGATTTAAACTTAGACAAGGAAAGAGAGGGGACAGCTAACACGCATATTTTCCAGTGAAAAATTTTTGAGGCCAAAATTTGATCGGCGGCCATACTTTGGTGACAAGATTTCGAGGTGACACCAAGCGAATTTTTATGTTTTTTGTGAATACTGTTTTGTTTTAAATTTATAAACTGTGTTGTTTAGTATGGTGAGATGTTCGGCGTATGGCTGCAAAGGCTGAAGCGAGAAAAAAATGACTGGAATTACATTTTACAGGTAAAAGTTGATACACAACTTGTGCTATGTAGTCATAAAATGTACATTTTTTTCATTATAGCAGTAAAAATATGTAAAATGCTTTTAATATGTCTTGTACCACATCCAAAGCAAACTATTTTTATTAATTCCAAGTAGTATTTTCAATGTCCTATATTATAATTAATGTTTGAAACTATAAATAATGCTACTCAGACAGGATTTCTCCAGTGGCGTAGGGTATTATAATCAGAGAAATACAAATTCTGCAATAAACATTTTTTTATATATTTTACATGTAAAAAAAATGTATAAAGCATTGTTATCAAATATGTAAAATAATAATTGTAAACTATAAAAAAAAACATGAAAAATTTTGGTTATAAAAAATCTATATGTATAGTTGTTACATAAAACTTAAATTTACCTGCCAAGATTTGCTGGGGGTGGACAAACTTGTGGTGGGCTACTTGTTACAATATTTTATTTTAAATATCCTTTCAAAAAATTTGCTAGTTTAGGTGTATAATAATAGTTTCAATGAGTAATTAATAAAATTTTAAAAATAAATAAATAAAATAACACAAAGCTTCTAGAATAATTGTTTATTTTTTTGCGGAAAATTAGGATATTCTTATGATTGAAGGTAACAAATATTAAAAATTACATTATTCATTGAATCCGTAGGCAAGTGTGAAGGGGATTGGCTAGATTCATTATTATACCGGATGATCGAAACAAAACGGCGTCCAGTTGGCTTGTAAATGACTGTCGATGTCATTCCTCTCAGTCTTTTTCAGGGGGGTGACAGTGATATAGGAAAATTGGAAACAGTCATTAGTGTCATTCCTGTCATTCTCCTCACGACAAGTATGGCCGCCTAGACAAGGACAGCATTGTTTTTGTCTAACTATTGTCTAACTTCACAGTTTAGAATTGACAGATTTCAGTTTCAGAGACAACTTCAGATTTGTTCTAGAACAAATTCGAAAATATTTGACGCCATTTTAATTCATTCCGTTTAGTTTCGTTTTGGAAGTTCAATTTAATATTTCGGCTGAAATTTATAAATATAAAGGTAATAAAGTATATAAAATATATATTACATGAAGAATCCTGGAGAAAATGACGTTTCTGCAGTAGTAGGTATGTCGGTAGTCCCATGTATATGAAAAATAAGTAGTAAATAAACACTGTTTTTACATTTTTTAGATGCAAGAAAATGGTGTTATAATCTCTTTGATCGGCGATTTTTTTGAAAATGGAAACAATTTACAGCAAGGTAAGATCATTTTTAACTATAGCCAACATTAGTTATCTCCAGTATGTGCGATTTATTGTCAATAGTGCAATAAATCGGACTGATAATCTGATTATGTTATCCGACTAAAAGTCTCTTTTTGCATCTTTTTGATTTATAAGCCAGGTTCTATAGGAATAATGGACGCTTTTTTTAAACAGTATATTTATATTTTATACCTATTGATATTTTTACATTGTTAATTTTAGTATAAAAAAATTGTTTTTCTGTTTTCAGGTGTTTTTATAGGGCCCCCGTTTTCATATTCCTGTGTCCGTTTTCTGTCCTTGAAGTTTGCGAATGCGTGTGTTTATTTACAAATTACTGTAAGTCATGCTTATACCTTAACTAATTTACGTTAAAAGTGCATATAATTAAGCAATTGGTATTGAAACAATACAATCCTCTATATTTTTATATTTATTTAGTCACGTTGTTCCATATTTCAAATAAATATATGCGAATAAATTATTTTTTGGTTTTATTTATGAAAAGAAAAAATACAAAATACATTTGAACTGAAAGAGGGCCCGCCATTGAATAACCGGAACGTAAATGAAAATTAAGCCATCATGTCCTTATCATGTCAACCTGTCAATTGGAAAGTTAGTTCTCCAGACGACAAAGAAGGCTTTCGGTGGCGTATCATGTTTCCACGATTTAACACAGAGTTGACACTTCTTTCTAGTTAATTATTTTATGGTCTTTTTTCGATGTCATTTTATATAGTTTTTATGTCATTTTATTAGGGTTCCCAACCGTCCCGGTTTGGCCGGGATTAACCAGGAATCAGAAAGTTTGTCCCGGCGAAAGTTTTGCCTTGGCCGGGACCTGGAAACTAAAAAAATGTGTACTATACACATAATATATTTTATTTTCTAATATTTAATGTCTTGCTTCAGTTATTTAAAAACTTAAAAATAATTGTCCCGGAATCGCCGATACTCAAGTTGGGAACCTTACATTTTATATGTAGAATTATATGGGGAATGTCATCGATCGTCATTTCCAAACAAACGGGATGCCGCTGTTTTTCGATCATACGGTATATATGTATATACACGTTTAAAATATATATATTTACATTATTTTTTATTTAATTATACATTATACATACGTTAATAACGAAATAATTGTCTTGATGATCAGTTCACTGTGACTGTTAAATAAATTTTGCATTATCGACTTGGATATTCTAATATTATAATGGTGAGACTGTAAAATACAAAATTGTATATGCATTATTCAAAAATAAACGATATATTAGTTAACGTTTTAATAAATATTTTTTATCGTCCAGGTACAAGCTAATTTCTGATGCTACGCCATTGGAGAATTTAGAGGTGACAAGTGGCCTCACTTTCAGCTGCCGTGTTACCTGTCCCCTCTCTTTCCTCGTCTAAGGATTTAAAACAACGGATTTTTTTTATTTCAATCAAGGATTTAAATAAAAAAAAAACAACTTGTTTAAAAACTTATGAGAAAATTGAAAAATAACTGTAAAAGTTATAATAACTTTTCCTATAAAGCTATAAAACAATATTCCTATAACAAATATACCCTATATATCTTCATCAAATAAAATGTTACACTTGCTGTATTGTGTCCACAGATTTTAACGTTTAAGTACTTTAATAAATCGAAAAATAATTGATATTACATATAACACATATACCTACTCAATATCTATTCATCTATTAAAATGTTAAACCGATTTTTGAAGTTATTTCGTGTATGCTTCTAAATGGCAGAGATTGATACTGAATTTTTGAAGTGCCGGAAATCCCGTATTCGAATACATTTCATTCGTAAACTCTAGTGCAGAACTAGTTTCTTCTGATGTCAGGTTATATTTTTATTCCCGAGGACTATAATTAATGTAAAAAATATGCTGGTCTCAACAGCGCGATGATGCGACTGTCCTTGTTACATCTTGAAAGCCGCCGAAAGCGAGCCAGAGTCAGCGAACTTTCCGGCCGCGATTACGTCTACCGTTCGCTGTTTTAGTCAGTGGGTGATGCAGTTTTTTATATAAAATATTATTCATTAAAAATAATATGCCAGAGGAACATTCAAAATTAGATTTAAACCTACCTTCTTCTGTGGAAACCTTCCTTTGCAAATGAAGATCGAATTTGTTACCTACTAAAACTATTGGAGTATCTTCTGAGGCTCTTACTTTCTGAATAAGTTTCTTATATTCGGATGCTTCTTGAAAACTATGTCGATCTGTCACACTGTAACAAATCATAAAGCCTTCGCCACATCGCATATACTGGTCACGCATTGCTGTAAATTCAACCTAAAATTATCAAAATACCTTTACATGAAACAATCACTTGAGTAATTTTTGCTCACTTGGCCTGCAGTATCTAAAATATCCAATAATGCAGGTTCACCATCGATAACTGCTTGTTGTTGATACGAGTCCTCTGTAACAACACAAGAGTCTTAATTATTTGTATTCTAGTGTGTTAGATCAATCTTTAGAATATTATAAGCAAACTTACCTATTGTTGGATCGTGATAGTCCAAGAAACTATGACTAACAAACTGCAATGTCACCGCTACAAAATAAAGAGAAAACAACAAAAAATCACTACAGGAATTCTGCCACCCGGTTAAAAAATAACTACCTGATTTTCCGACACCTCCATCACCCAAAACAACTATTTTATACACTCTAATACCGGGTCTAGATTTGTTTTGATTATTGCTTACACCAACTGGTGGCCTATCTGTTTCTATATCCGAATCTTTTTCTGACCTATTCGATTCCTGTCGAGACAATTTTCCCTTTTTCTTGTGGCTCGCTTCACCAGCCATTATACACAATTACAAGTACTGCAATAACAACAATTTATAGAACATTTATTAAATTCATAAATAAATATTGATGTAGCACACCACTCCTGTCTATAAACTTCTAAATTTGACATTTCCATAAGTGGATTTTAAAAGTGTTATGTATGCTCTGTATGTATGGCACTTTATACGAATTAATCCATTCTTCAAATTCATTATATTCTTAAAAACTACTCGAGATATCGTTTAGTTTTTGTTAAAGCCCAAGTTAAATCATAAAAATATATAAAATCTTTGAAAAATAGATGTGTTACCTTAGGTAACCAGTAAAACTTTAATTTGTAATCAGCTGTGTACTGTCATTCCTGTCATTGATCTGTTTTTATTTTCATTTCTTGAGAAAAAAATAAAAATACAAAAGAAGTATGATTATATTTTGTGCCCTGAATACTTTAGTGTTTATTTGTGTCTTTATCACAGAAAAACAGTACCTAATTGAACAATGAATCACTTAATACATATTTAATGTTGTTTGATTATGGGATCTAAACAAAAACTCCAGGTATTTATATTAGATAAAAAATAACGCAATTGAGAACAGTCAGGGTTCTTGTACCTACATAGTATTTAATATAATACAATGCATAATATTAGATACCGAAAATATATTAAAACGCAATGTTCAAGTGCAACATGTTTAGAAGAAAGTTCTGTAATTATCGATAGTTGTAAAGAACCGATAGTATTGCAAAAAGAATTAGTTGTATCTCACCATGTAAAGGTATTCAATGAAAACTGAATTATTCTACATACTGTTAAATTATAGTAATCTTTTATAATTGTCTTTTACTAAAAATATATATATTTTCAGTTAAATCTGTATCCTTCTGCACCTCCTAATATATCAAAAGAAAACTTGAGTTTGTGGATTGGTTGGACTTATAAGAATGATAAAGAGGTAATAAGGGAAGCAGCATTAAAGGGCCATGTTCCGCTGGCTGAAAAATTCCTCCTGGCGAAGAATAATGTCCCTATTGAAGAAGTTAAGGATTGCATCAAAAAAGAGGTATTAATACACTTAAATCAATCTAAATAAAAATGTATATCACTTGTATTTTAGGTACTAATATGGGTTGACGAGCTTTTAGATAGAAAATTGATCTTCAGAGTATCAAGCATACTTCATGCTATAGATCTAGATCCAGTTCATGAACTTCAAAAAGTTTTTTATACGACGAAAATCAAAGATTTGAGAGAATATATCGGAAGCCATCTAAGGAAAATTAATAAATTGCCATGTGACTATGAGAAGCTGTGGATTTTTTTGGAAATCCTAACGCAAAGTAAAGGTGTATCTAGTAGTGATGAGAGTATTGAAGGATTAGACCACAAATCTGGTTCGTGGAAAGAAGAGACAGCTGCAAAATTATTTATAGATACGCATGGTAAGTTAATTTATATATCAACTGATTATTATAACTACATGGTAATTTAAGTTTATTATTATCATTTGAGATGATTAAATATTTTTATTTTGAACAGTTGAATACAGGGTGTAAAAAAATAGTGTATTGTCAACTTCACTGGGTGGTACTATGATAAAAATAAGACAGAAAATTCCTATGAACCTATATGCCCTAAGATAGTTCTTCAGGAAGTTTTATTTTAAACTACTCCTTACAAACACCAAAATAGTTATTACAAATTACAAGTAAGGTTTGATTTGGTTTGGTTTACAGCTTGAATTACAGCTTGGCTACAGTTTGAGTTACAGCCCTTGAAAGAGTAGATTTTTTCTTAATTTTTTTTTTGAAATTTGGTATTCTTGCACACATTTTAATGACAAAGAGAATGGCGGTATTAAAAAAAACTAAATAACAGTTCTGAAAGGGTACCTACTTTCTATTAGAGTAGAGGGTAGTTTCTCACAGAGATGCAGCAAGTCAGTTTTAAAATGATTTAAATCATTTTAAAATGATTTTTAAGTTTTAAGTCATTCTGATGTTTTAAGTGATTTTAGATAAAAATGATTCAATGGGCTCTTTCACTATACAGGGTTGTTCACCACATACGACACGGAGTATTGTAGCTAAACGATTAGATTTTTACAAATTGTAAGTTTTGGGTTCGTTGAAGGACTATTAGAGCTACAATTTAAAAATATTTTTACAAGATACAGTGTCCCAAATAAATAAAAAATATCAAAGTTGTATTTTTTTAAATGGAACACCCTGTATATTATTGCATTTTTAGTTTCTACGATTAAAATAAAGGTAAATTTGATTAAGGTTTATTACACTTAAACCTTACCGTTTTTGAAATATTTTCAATTTTGCGAAATTGCAGTATAAATTTTAAGGCCTCATTTCTCCGAGGATATCAAAGTTGTTAATACTAAATATTTACTGAAGTTTATTTATTGATCAGTTATTGTGTTGCAATAATAAAAATTATACTACCTTATACAGAGTGTCTAAAAATTTATTTTATATAATTACTAGCTGTAAACGGCAATAACTTATTTAATTTAAATAGGACACCCTGTATATTTTATGAGAATCAGATGCACAATTTAATTGTCTATCAAATTGTATTATACCAATTCTTACCTATTCCTTCAAGTTTTCGTAGAAAATGCATTTTCTTGTAATTTTAATTCATTTATCAATATACCCATGGAATACTGGCATTTTAGATTATTTTTTATAATATTGTTGATATAGTTTGTTGATATAGTTTGTTTATTTCATTAAAAAATAAAAAAAACTGTTTAAATATTTCTTAAAGAGGACCAATTAATATGATTCCAGTATTCAAACTACATTAATTGACTGTTTGCCTTGATTAATAATAATTGCTCCAAAAACTAAAAAACTGAATTTGTTATGTGTATTAAACAGTGTGGTAAAAAGTAACACCTTAGAAATGATATTTCGTTTTTTGACAAAGGCTTATTTGTAACAACAGAGACATTCATTTTTATAACTTATTATTATATTGATTTCTGATTCAAATCCACATTTATTTAGAATAATTTATTCACGAACATAATTAAGTATGTAATTAATTAGTATTTGGGAGGAAATAATGGTAGTATATTTAATTAATGGCATACTTTTTTATGAAGATTTTGAATGAAAAATTTACTTTTTGCATACAAATGGGCTAGTAATATTATCATTTTGTTAAAAACCATATTATTACTAGCCTGTACATTTTGTACATTTGTTGCTTTAAAAACAATCTAAAATGTCAATATTCCATGGGTATATTGATAAATGAGGTCTGAATTATAAGAAAATGCATTTTCTACGAAAACTTGAAGGGATAGGTAAAAAGTGGTATAATACAATTTGATAGACAATTAAATTATGCATCTGATTCTCCTAAAATATACAGGGCGTTCCATTTAAATTAAACAAGTTATTGCCGTTTAAAGCTAGTAATTATTTAAAATAAAATTTTAGACACTCTGTATAAGGTAGTATAATTTTTATTATTGCAACACAATAACTGATCAATAAATAAACTTCAGTAAATATTTAGTATTAAAAACTTTGATACCATTGTAGAAATGAAGCCTTAAAATTTTTACTGTAATTTCACAAAATTGAAAATATTTCAAAAACGGTAAGGTTTAAGTGTGATATACCTTAATTAAATTTACCTTTATTTCAATCGTAGAATCTAAAAATAAAATAATATACAGGGTGTTCCATTTAAAAAAATACAACTATAGGATATTTTACTTATTTGGGGCACTCTGTATCTTGTAAAAATATTTTTAAATTGTAGCTCTAATAGTCCTTCAACGAACTCAAAACTTACAATTTGTAAAAATCTAATCGTTTAGCTACAATACTCCGTGTCGTATGTGGTGAACAACCCTGTATTTTGGAATTAGCATAATTGAATAAAGCAATTAATTCTAGAATTTTCTGTTATCTCACTTTCGAAAAATTTGAAGTCGTTCTTAAGAAAATAAATAAAAACCCAAAATAAAAATCCGCACTTTATTTTTAATACGTCACACTTTGCATGTTGAAAAGCGGCAACACGGCCGGGCCACCATGCTGACCCACCACCACCTCCACGGAAGGCCATTCAACCTTTTCCAATATGGTGGAGATAGAAGTGCTTTATTTGGCGCGTATTTTAAAACCTGTTTTATTTCCAAATACACATTTTTCACACAAATGTCGGGTTAGATTACGTAATATTTCACTAATTTTTTAATATACACGGAGTCTAAAGCCCTCCACATAAGTATGGAATTTTTTGTATTATCACTTTTATGAAAACATCAGTTACGTACTTTTTATAATAAGGTCTGCTTTCTCAGAAAATAGGTAGGTAGTGTTAAAATATTCAAACTCGAGGTAGCATATATAGGGTGTTCAAAATCATCGGAAAAAGAAATAACCAGAAATATATGATAGAAAATAGCAATGTAAACTAAATATTCAATTGCAAACACTTACCTATCATACTTTAGAATTTACTGCACGTTTGATAAATATATACTATTGTGGACAGTATAGGAAGTTACTTGTCTTAGTAAATATAAGCCTTGGTAAATGCTCTTGGAATTATAAACTACACTGGTTTGGGTCAAAAAATATGGAATATTTTTCCTATGTTTTGCAACATTACACAAATGGGAATAAATTTAAACTATAATAGGTGAGGATAACTAGAAAATATAATATGTGTTTCAAGATTTTATATAGAAAAAAAACTACCTTTTTGGGGGTTCGTAAGTATAACTTAACGCTTAGCTTAGTTTTCTTTACTCTTTCTTTTTACATAGGGCATTGTCTTTGTGGTAAAGACGTCATTCCTGCATAGTTCTTCAATAAAATATTGGATATTCTGAACAAGATGGATTTAATAATAAATTCTCAAAGAAATACTTACATCCAGGCCATTTATATTTTCAAATATCAATGTTGTCAATATCTGTCTGAGATCTTTTTGATGTAAGAAGCTTGATTATTCTTCCAATATTTTACTTATAGTGAGGGAAGTGTAAGCAGTAGCCATAACTACATCCTCACTAGGGTAAGAGAGGCTTTGGGGCCTTTTACCTTTTTGAGGCATATTTATTACCTGAGAACTACTAGTAGGAGTGAAATTATCTCTTTTAATAGCTGTCAACCATTTTTTACGAAACTCGTCATTTTTATATAAAAATATTTATAAAAATTAGAACTTAAACATCTTAGGTAAGGAGGATTCAATATAATTTATCAGATTTGAAATAAATACTGTCCTAAGGGTAGTTTACTCTTGACTCGAAAAATATCAAACCCCATTTAAACGTACGTCTATGAGGTATCGCATTTCTTACCCTGGGCAAAATGTACGTCATACAGCCTCCTGCCAAAAATGAAAAAGATCGCTCAACAAACAACCAAGATATTGGCTTGTATCCATCTTAAGTGGGACACCCTGTATAAACACAACTTATGTATTTTTTTGTAGTACTTTGTACAGGGTGAGTCAATGATAAAGTCCATTGTATCATTTGTTTCGAGATTTAAAAACAAATGTTAAAAGGAAATGCCGCTGTTAAAAATTTATTATAAAAATATATGAAAAGTCTGACTTAAATATTTTCTAAAAAGACCTAAATCTTTTAAAAGATTTAAGCCTTGGTGACTTAGTCTTTTTCTGCTTCAGGATAAAGACAGATAAAAGAAAATAACTATCTAACTATTGTCTTAAGTCAGCTTCCGAAAAAACAGCAGAGTTGTGTTGGCGAAAATAATGGACGACCAAGATATAGTCGGGGCTACAGTCATTGTTATGCACAGCTGAATTATTAAAAAGAATAAAAATCGAAAACATCGTCGCTGGTGAGAAACCCAAATTTTTAAAAATCGATATAATTTACTGCAACAACTTAGTGTCTGAGAAGGGCTATGATCAGTTCAAAAACTTTACAAGAATGGCCAGGCCCGACTTTGAATATTTACAAAATTTAATAACACCAAAAATTACGAACAAAAGATACAAATTTTAGAATAGCAAATTCATTAATATCGATATGTTCAATATTAATTTTATTTACAAGGTCTTGCCATGCGTCATTTTTTTTTTGTTTTTTAATAATACGAAGAATGTTTAACATCTCATAATATCGGCAACTTTTCATATTCTTCAATTAATAGTAACGAAGATTCATTGATCCACTCCATAATTTTAACGAAAAAATCACACACGCACGTACGAACGCAGACAAAACAACTTGCCGGTGCAAACTAAGCGTTCGCGCACACATAAAATCCCTTTGAGCACGGACCAAAAACCGACACCAGAGGGCTCACGTTCGCGTCTGCTCGCGCACAGACAGATTCAGAGTGAGCGTGCGCGCACAGTCGTTTACACTTGAGCATTGGCGAAGGATCAGTGCGTGCGTGCTCAAGTCTAAACGCACCCTTAGACACACTGTTGGGCACACTGTAGGTATATTTTGTTTATATTTTCAGACAAGCGCTTGGCACCCTTAATCACCGCAGAAGTAGTATGGGACCAGCTCCTACTCCAAAACCAAGCGGATATGTTAATTTCCTGGATTCGTATAACATACTCTCCAACCCTTCCAACGAATTTAAGTATCTCCGAAGACCTCGTACTTGTTCTCCAATCATTACCGATCTCAGAACAATTTCTGAATAAGATTTTACCTTCAAATCTTTCCTCAGAAAATAAGGAAAGGATTCTAAATGAACTGGCAAAATTCGGTGTTTTTGTTGGAGAAGAAAGACATGATATTTGTCAAATTCTTTCTAGAATTAACTGCGCAGACAATATTGTCGATGTTTACGCAATTCTAAACCAAAATCCTTCCTCGAACATTGATCTTTCTAGTTTTTTTGAACTTCTGATCGATTATTGCTCAAAAAATAACCTACTAGTCGTTCTAAATTCGTGTCTTAAAAATTTCGACATTGCTATTTTAAAGGGGTGTGATGAACTCAGTCATTTTCGTTTGATAACTGATTTTAGGAACTTGGTTAAAAGTTTTCAAGAAAAAGATTTATGTGATAATATTTTCAATGTTTCTGTATACCTGTCTGGAGATAACCTAGAAAAATATTTCTGTGATAATAGTTTAGTTTTTTTAAGTTTACTGGTATTTTCTGAAAATGTATCTGTCCAGAAAACTCTGGCAGAGAAATCCTTAATTTTATATAACGTGGATTTATACCGTCCTTTAACAAACCTTTTCGAATCCACAACTTTCTTGGGTGACTTATACAGAAGAAAAATAAATAAGGTAACGTGCAATTTGACATATTTCGATTTACTAAAAAAACATCATGAATTAGACCCGACTAAAATATTTTCTTATAAGTTTGAAAATAAACCTTTACCGAATTTTAATTCTTTTAGTTCGGAACAATGTGAAGTATACTCAAAAAAAATCAACTACACGTTTTATTTAAAACTATCTCGTCCTAGCATGGCCAGTAAATGTTTCTTCCTCGATATCCTGAAAGGAAATATAGTTATAAACGACGAAATCAAGATGATTGCAAGAGAAAAAGTATACAAAATAGCTGTCTCTAGTTTTGACAATATTTCTTTAACCACTTCTTGTGTTTCGTTTCTTGAAATGATCGGAATCAGTTCGGAGTTTTTGCGTGTTAATTTAGAAGCTGCTAATGTTTTGTTTCGTTCGAATCCGGAATTTGAGATCGTTTCCATGTTTTTGAATGCTGAAAAAAACTCTCGTTTAATTCAAGCTCTTTTGGATGAGACTATAGTAGAAAATATCGATTTTACAAAAATGACAGTTTCTGGAAAAGAATTCGTGCAAGCCTCAAAACTATACGAAATAGTTATAAAATTCAGTGATCTACACCAACTACCTTTGCCAGACTTGTTCTTAACGAACCTCTCTCAGCACAACCTCTGGTATCCGTTCCTGCTATACGCCCAGATGAAGAACTACCCGGTGGACCAAATAAAGACGTTGTGTTCCAACTTTAAAAACCCGAGTTTGCTGGAACATATAGTTCATAGTGTTATGCACGATATCAAGGTGAACGAGGCGAACGTTCTGATGGGGGAGAGGGATTCGAGGAGCTATTTCCTGTCGAAGCTGGGCGTGAGGAAGATGTTGGAGGCTGTTTCCGAGAAGGATTCGTTATATTCCAGGTAATGTGGTAGAGGGAACGTTCCCATTTGTGACGAGGGAACGTTCCCTTACAAGAGCTGAAATAAGCTTGTATAAGCACAAACGAGAACGTTCCCTATAAACATTATTTACCTTTTTACAAGTGATTGTTTTTGAGTCTAATTGACTTTGAGTCTTACGTTGATACATATCATAGATAAATGAAACAAGTTTAGATTGGAAAGTGCCCATAAGGACTATGTAAATACTATTTGGCGCTGTTTTTGCAACGGTCGCGACCCAAAGCTTTTGATAATTTATGATCGGTCCGTTTTTTTCCGGAATTATGTCGCCAAATATTATTTATTCAAATTTGTTATTATTTTCTTTTAATTTTATAAATAAAATACAGTGTGTTGTACAAAATACAATTATATATTTTGTCGGGCTTTCCAATCTAAATTTATTTCCTTTATCTCTGATACATATTTATATGAAATGGTGCTCCCAGGTTTAGGAACAGGAAGTAAGCAACCTTTTATTTAAAAAATTGCTAACGTTTTGACATGTATTTTCATCTTTATCAAACCAAAGAACCTTAGAAAAGAACCTGTTAACTGAAAATAGACTTGAGAAAGACGAAAATACACGTCAAAACGTAGCGCCTCGGCAATTTAAAAAAAAAGGTTGTTTGTTTCCTGGAACGCCATTTCATCTATAACAAGGATGCAAATCTTCCACGTTGATTAGAACTAATGTTAGTATTAGGTTTAAGATCCAAAGCATGAACCTGCCATAAATAGAATATAGTGTAGATATCTGCATATAATAATATGCCGAGAAAGAAAAATAACTTGTTCTGAATACATACTATATTCTCAATTTTTTCTTTTTTTTTTGTTCCAAATGTTCTTAAAATACTAATTTTTTTCGAGAATAATAAAAAACGAGAACATTCAAAATAAAATTTAAAAATTGTCTCATTGATTTTCTTTTTCTGAACTTACTTTATTTTCGCTAATTATAAATTATCGACATTTGCTTCTATTTATTCTTCTTCATTATCGAAGCACGTTGTCAATAAATAAATTCTAAACATTTTTCAACACTAAATAATTCCAGGTCTACGTATAGTGGGGCTAGTTTCGAGAGCAATCTGAGCTCGTTCGAGTCGGATAATTTGGAAATCGATATTACCAACACCAAGGTTACGCTACTGCAAATTTTGATTCGATGCCATAACAGTACGGATCCGCCGAAGGCCTTGTTGCAAGCTTGCTACTTTTACAAAAATCCTTTGTTGGCCATACTTGCAACTAGTTATGAGGTAAGTAAAATTATAAAATAGAACTATTTTAACTAAATTTAAAAAAATATAAAGCGAAAAAAGCTGAAATCCTTTCATCAATCTCTTTTGATCAATTTTTGATCTTTGGTCAGTTTGCCAGTGTTTTTTTTACTAGTAAAATAAATTTGCCTAATCGACAAAAAATGCTCAACGTCTCAGGAGGTACATCTTTTGTTGTCAAAGATAAAAACACAGAACAAAGAAAAAACTATTTAAAATACCTAAATACAACTATCGGAGAACACTTTAGTTTTTAGTAGATACGTGTATTTTACAAACCGTCGGTGTTCTGTTAAAATGACATTACATGAAGTCAAACTTGAAATTAACAATCCGGAGTTTAACCATAGTTTTTTTATTGCAAATAATTAATCTTCGTACAATTTTATGACACCCGTATTTTTTATTTTACTTCAATTTCATCCCATTCTTTAAAAAAAATTAATCAATATTAAGAATTTCAAATTTACACTTTGGCAATCTCTGACGTCACCTATCAAAAGTGTCACGGTTTGCCACCAGGTACAAAGGTAAATAAAAACCATTTTTCTAAATGTATTTTAAAGTAGATATAAAATTAATTGTAAAATAAAACTTAAGGAACTTACGTTAAAATGATCTTCACAGCAAAATCTCGTACTTTTGCTGACATATTGTTGTCTTGCCGCTTCAAACCAGGCTCTTCGACGGCTTTCATCCGAAGGAACAGTTATAAAAACTTTTTCTGAAGAGCCTTCAGAGTTATTTAGACAGCCCTTCACAAAACAAACTTTAATACCCTTCATTACAAAAATAATAAAGAGGGTACAATAAAACAAAATTGAAAACTCAAAGTATTTAACGCCAAACGCAAAATCAACAAAATACAAATCTAACCTCGAACGCTTTGAACATCCGAACAACTTTGGTAGTGTTTAATGCTTCGATAAAATGGCAGTAACCTGTTAATTATAAAAAATTAAGTTTTAATTTCTAGTAGTGAAAAATATAAAAGTAAATTCAATATTGGGGTAATAAAGAATAATCCCACATAAAAACGTATTTTTAACGATCTTAATAAAATAGAAAAATCTAACGTGATTTTAAGATATATGGCGTAAATACGGTAGCAGAGAACTAGAGACGCCATAATATTATTCTTCAGAGGCTGGAGCGCCCTCTGTCAATTATTCAGTCAAATGCTGATAGATGACGTCACAATTTTCTACGCGTCATTTCAAACCAGTGAAATTTGTATTGAATTTGATTTATTATTTATTCCTTAATTGTAACTTCGTTGCATTTCTTTTTGTATTGAGGGAGTACTTTTTAATCACTTCAATTGAATTTTATATTAAAAATAACAAAAATTTACTATGGTTAAACACCGGATTAGGCCAGTATTACACTGTCCAATTTCTTTGTCAAAGATCTTTTTATAAAAGATATTTGAAAAATTTGACAATGTTAATATACAATATTTTATAAAATCACACATCATATTACATTCTCACATTCTTTGACAAAATAAAATCTTTGACAAAGAAATTTGATAATGTCATTATGGCCTGACTACCTGATAACAATTACTTAATGAGTTAAAACCAGAAAGCTTATACTTGGCGAAAAAACAACTCTGTTCAAGTAATGAACTTAAACCGCCACACGGTGGGGTATTAGCATGAAAATGGTGATCGAAATTCGAAAAAGTAAATGTGTTTAAGATTTCCCAAAAAAAGATAAATGTTAAGTTAAATCATGTCTGCCATGAATGGCGTTGCTATGGGTGTGTTTAGTTGCATTCATTCGTTTCAACGAAACGTCAAAGTTGTTACTTCTCACAGATAAGAGGTAAATGGCTAAATTTTATGTTTAAAATTATAAATTGTTGTTCTTGTGCTCTTTTTACGTTTATATTATTGTTTTGATTGAAAATGGCTCAGCAAGCTGCAGGTATGTATTCTACAAAAACGTATTATTTATTTTGATATTCTCTATACTAACGATTTTTTTGCAACTAAAAGTTAGGCGTTCAGAAAATTTGATTAAATTTGTGACATTTTTATTATACTTAGAGATTTAGTTGCGCATTTCGAAGAATTCAGCATATTGTCTATATACGTTTTACTTAGTAAACATTGGGCTTTCATACAGTCAAATAAAATACTGCGACTTTGCTGATAAAATGAGAAAAACATTTTTGGTTTCCTCTCAGTGATTGCCAATCAGTGATATACTAATGCGAGGTGTAAACCGCGATGGCATTGTTGTGTACAAAGCGATCGCATTAGTGCCATTAGCAGTATAGCACAGTTTGGCTTTAGTAGCGACTTTAGTGGTATCGACATTGCTCGCGGATCAGTCGTAGCATTAGTAGTATTAGTTGCGATATTACTACTGGCATTAGTGGTATTGGCCGTAGAAACACTGGAACAGTGATTTTTCTTTCTTTTTTTTATAATCGACGAATTATCCTTTATTTTGTTCATATTATTTCCTCTTTAATTGAAAATAGCAATAATTTATATAAGGTCTACATAAAAAAATTTCGATCAACTATCTGTGTCAAATACCCCACTGTGCGCCACAAAGGTATAGGAGACATTAGACAGTTAAAACATCAACTATTGATAGAAAATAATAAAAACAGTAAAAATATAAATTTAATATATATATAATAAAAATATACATATATTTTAAAAACAAGACTTTCCATTTCGTTTCAGTATGTTCTCTTCTTTGATTTTGTCTAATAAATGCTATTTTATAAATACTTTATAGTCTATAAATACTATTTGTTTACCTTTTTGTTGCGGGCTGATTACTCAACTTTTCTCTAATTTAATCATCTTTGTATTATTTCTTTTGGTTTACGAAATTATGCTTTTCTTGGATACTTTGTACATAAATTTGATTATATATCTGTAGTCTTGATTAAGGCGTTTATTGAAAGAATTGGGAAGATAAGCAACCTAATGGGCGACTTCGTGACAAGGCTGATTTGATTTCCCCTTACGTTTCAAGTGCTGTACGGTGGAACCACCAATCGTTCTGTGGCCAACGCATAAATTACTTATTTTCTCTAATTCGGTCAGTAAAATCATATCGAAGGCGAAGGATCAGAAAGCAACAGTGCCATATTAAAATGTTTAATATCTGTTATACATTTAACGAAAAATATCTTCGGATGAAAAATCCGCGTTTATGTATTGGAAATGTATTCGTGTTAAACATAAAATAAGCAATAAAAATAAAAATTCTTTTATAAGGACTGAATATGTCGTATGATCGAAAAGAGTCGTTTTTTTGGCTTGGAAATTAATTATTGACATTTACCATAATATTTTACATATAAAATAACAGCGATTTTCATTTTCAATTCGACTATGACGCCGTTCTTTGTTTAATCATATAATTATTTTATGAATATTAGGAAATACGTATTATTAACGCACTGTACCCAAAATTCGTAAATCTACAGGTTAATCCGTAGTTCTGGCAATACTGTCTCCGGCAACCACTCACTCTGTTGACTGAAAGCAGAACTACAGTACATTATTCTTTATCCGCCGCACTGAAAACGACTATCAGCGCGCAGCGGCATAGAGCTAAACTAAATCTCGGAATTCTTTCTCGGACAGGCTGAAGATTACGCCAGCTAAATCTCGAACAGGTTTTGTGCCACGAAATCGCCCATAAGGTTGCGCATCTTCTTATTTCTTCAATCAACGATTAATGTTTTATTCTGGATACCTTTTCAATTTTAGCCTGATTCTTTCATCACCAACTGGTTAACTTGGTTATGCGTATCTACCAACTTATACGAGGCATTTTCGAATTTAGAAACCAACCTCACAAACGCAAACTTTGTCTCCAACCTGCTGAACAAATGCATGATTAACAGATACCCTAGATCGCTTTTAGAAAGCCTAATCGTTTTTCTACCTGTGTGTAATCGAAATAAAGTTATGTTAATTACAATTAAATAATTACATGTTTTTAGGGTAACCCTCTTACACTATTTTTAGATTTCTTGAACAGTTTGATCAATAAAATTGATCATTTAGAATACCTTGTTCCTAAGTTGATGAGATTTAAGAGTTTGAACACTGCTAGACGTGCCAGTGTTATTAGTCAAACAGATTATGAAATGACGTATCTTAAGAACAGAATTTGGATTGAAAATACAGCCGTACAACTCTTGTATTCTGCGATCATTTATAATAGCAATTCATATTTTGAGCAAATAGAATACGATGTCTGTATTATGCCAGATAAATATTAAACAATATTTTGTCAGTGAGATTTGTGATTTTATAATTCTCTATGATATATTAGAGCTTCTTTTTGATACTACAATCAAGCTGAATATCGCACATTATCTTGAAGAAACTAACCGAGATGAGGAGGTTCAAGATTGTATTAATAAGTTACTTAAGCAAGAACTTTTTGATAAAGCCCTCAAAATATCAAGGGTTTGTAATTTTGATACTAACTTAATTGTGTTAAAAAAATGGGAAAATAAATATAGGCACAATAACAGTTCTATTCAAGAGTTTTTAAGGTTATGTAATGAAGATTTTATTAAAGAAAAATTATCTGCAGACTGTGCTATATCATTTTTTAATGAAAGAACTCCAGCTAATGATGTAGAAAGATACTTTCTGTTGAAATCCTCGCACAAATGGGCTTTAGATCACGATCTGACTGACAAATACGAGCTAGAAAGAAAGAAAATTCTGGCTTTCATAGATTTTCCAGAAAATGTCTTACCCATAGATGAGTTAACTTTGTTTGAGAACCACAACGGTCACATAACCTACAAGGAAATGTTAAAATTACTCGAGAAAGTATACCCGGCTCAACAATGTGTAGCTAGTGATTCTATGGATAAATTGGATTCGCTCTTGGCCAAGTTCTTGGATCGTGGAAATTTCTGGATGGCTGTTAAATTGGAAAAGATATTCGGTTGCGATAATACTAATACTGATATACTAAAATTATGCCACGAATTGGCTGAGGATATAGTCTCGCCCACACAGTTAAATGAGTACCATAAACAATTGTTTTTCAAGTTTAAGGAGTTTCCTAGGTTAAGTTATCGAAGAAACTTGACGTTTAGGAATGTGAGCGTTTCATCAGGTAACTATTAAGGCATAGATAAACGAAAGAAGTTTAGATTGGAAAGTGCCTATAAGGTCAATGTAAATACTACCGTTTAATCGAATAAAAACGGCGTCAGCATGGCTATGAAATGAAGATCGCTGTCATTTTATATGTAAAATTATATGGGAAATGTCATCGATCGTCATTTCATAGCCATCGCTGACGCCGTTTTTATTCGATCATACGGTATTTGACGCTATTCTTGCAACGGTCGCGACCTAAAGCTTTTGATAATTTCGGAGCGGTTCGGCTTTTTTCGGAATTATGTCGCCAAAAAAAAAAGGTAAACGACTAGATAGCAATAATTACTTTGAAAATGAACGCTTTAAACACTTTTCGATATTTTTTCAATGAGAGCGGTTTAAATTTTGAAAGATTTTATAATTTTTGAAGATTCTGACTTTGACAAGAGAAAATTATTTCTGTTTTTGTTTGGCGGTTGTTCTTAGCAACCGCTATAGCAGCGCCAGATCGCGTACAACGGTCGCGACCCAAAACAATTATATATTTTAACTGGCTTTCCAATCTAAATTTATTTTCTTTATCTATGCTACTAAAGTACCGTATGATCGAAAAAAAAACGGCGTCCAGTTGGCTTAGAAATGACGATCAATGACATTTCCCATATGATTTTACATATAAAATGACAGCGATCTTCATTTCACAGCCATCGCTGACGCCGTTTTTATTCGATCATGCGGTACTTTTGATCATGATAGAGAATTATTCACTATTGAAACTAAAATAATTACGAACTTCCATTGTCTTTATTTACAAAAAATCAAAGTCAAAACATGCCTTGGTTAATTTTTGAGAGCGAAATGAACTTGCCACCACCAATTTTCAATTTTTTCAACTATCATTACTTTGTGATGTTATTTTTTAATATCACGAAGTGCTTTTGATGACTATTGTCTTAATGCTATACCGACACTGCATTAGCGAACTCTATATTAAAATTTAAGAAACGTTAAAAGGTAACCATACAGGCTTGATTTTAATAAATATTAGTAAAACTAACAGAACTAAGGATATTTAAAAAACATAACTGCAATAACTAATGTAAAAATAAACAAAAAACTTGTAAAAAATACTCTAATACTTTGTATTGTCTCCCTCGGCTTCTATAGCTGTCTGTAGATGTCGCGTCGGTTCATACTGCCCATGAGGCTGCAAATATATTGTATTAAATTTTCCCATTCTTCTTCAAGTACCAAGAGAATATTCATAATTTCAGCCATATTTAACAAGACATGACTTTTGCACAATCTTCGACACTAAGAGCAATATTCAATCGTACACAGCAGTAGTCACCAAAGCTACCTCGTCATTATGAAGAATTACAGTTGAGGGTTGGAACCTTTGGTGTTACACAGCAAAATAAAAACACTAAATCACCACAATACACCAAAATACTTTTACTTTTACACTGGACGCGCGTTTCGCTAACCATGTTAGCATCATCAGCAGATGATTATAAACTAAAGTACAATCTACAAGTTGAGCGTTTATATACTCGCCCAGTGGGCACCGAGTGGGCGTGGCAAAATCTAGCCAACCAAGTCAGAGCCCACTGAGCGTAACAGTTAGATTTCCGCCACTAGAGTAGTAGGAACAAAGAACTTGAAGGAATTGGACCGTTGTCTCTGTTCATACTTTACGTTTATTAATTCTGATGCTTTCATATGCATTTAGTTGCCTGTAATCTGAGACTTGTTTAATTAATTTTAAATTATTAAGATCTATGCAATGTTCTTTATCAACAATATGTTCGGCAACGCAAGATTTATTCGGTCTACCATCTCTTATCTGAGCTAAATGTTCTTTAAATCTAGTTAATATTGATCTTCTAGTTTGCCCAACATATTTCTGATTACAATCTTTACAAGAAACTTCATAAATACCCGATCTTTCCAGTGGAGGTTTTTTCCTTTGGATTACCTAATAATTGTTGTAATTTATTATTCTCACTATACACAAGTTTATAATTGACATTCTTAAAAATTCCTTTTAGACCACGAGATAACTCTCTATCAAACGGTATCGAAAATATTTAGACGTATCTTTCTCCACTTGAAAAGTCGAATTCTCAGAAATCATTAACCTATACCTATGTTTTCTAATTAATTTATCAACTAGTGAAGGAGAATATCCATTACACTCAGCTGCATTCCTAATGTAATCTCTTTCTATTTCATATCTTTCGTTGGAAAGTGGGAAACTAAGTAATCTATGAACTAAGAAATTTAAACTAGCCATTTTATGTTCAACACTATGATGTGATTCATTAGGAATATATCTGCGTGTGGTCGTATTTTTCCTATAGATATCAAATTAAAAAAATTATTAAATTGAAAACAATTTTTTTTAATAACAATTAACAAAATTTAATAACAACTTTTTTGAACAGCGGGAAGGTACAGCAATGGGTAATCCATTGTCTCCATTTTTGGCTAATTTATTCATGAGCAGGTTTGAAGTGGAGGCTAAGAATCAGTTTGAGTATTTTCCAATAGTATGGTTTATGTATGTGGATGATATTTTTGCTGTTTTTGACACACATTCAGACACCATAGATAATTTTATTTCTAAGTTAAATAATCGTTTTCCTTCCATTAAATTTACGCATGAAATTGAGAACAACGACAGATTACCATTTCTAGATGTATTAGTTATTAGAAATACTAATAATTGCCTGGAATTTGATATCTATAGGAAAAATACCACCACACGTAGATATATTCCTAATGAATCACATCATAGTGTTGAACATAAAATGGCTAGTTTCTATTTCTTAGTTCATAGATTACTTAGTTTCCCACTTTCCAACGAAAGATATGAAATAGAAAGAGATTACATTAGGAATGTAGCTGAGTGTAATGGATATTCTCCTTCCCTAGTTGATAAGTTAATTAGAAAACGTAGGTATAGGTTAATGATTTCTGAAAATTCGACTTTTCAAGTGGAGAAAGATACGTCTAAATATTTTTCGATACCGTTTGATAGAGAGTTATCCCGTGGTCTAAAAGGAATTTTTAAGAATGTTATAAACTTATGTATAGTGTTAATAATAAATTACAACAATTATTAGGTAATCCAAAGGATAAAACACCTCCACTGGAAAGGTCGGGTATTTATGAAGTTTCTTGTAAAGATTGTAATCAGTAATATGTTGGGCAAACTAGAAGATCAATATTAACTAGATTTAAAGAACATTTAGCTCAGATAAGATATGGTCGACCGGATAAATCTTGCGTTGCCGAACATATTGTTGATAAAGAACATTGTATAGATCTTAATAATTTTAAATTAATTAAACAAGTCTCAGATTACAGGCAATTAGATGCATATGAAAGCATCAGAATTAATAAATGTAAAGATAGTATGAACAGAGACAACGGTCCAATTCCTTCAAGTTCTTTGTTCCTACTACTCTAGTGGCGGAAATCTAACTGTTACGCTCAGTGGGCTCTGACTCGGTTGGCTAGATTTTGCCACGCCCACTCGGTGCCCACTGAGCGAGTATATAAACGCTTAACTTGTAGATTGTACTTTAGTTTATAATCATCTGCTGATGATGCTAACATGGTTAGTGAAACGCGCGTCCAGTGTAAAAGTAAAAGTGTTTTGGTGTATTGTGGTGATTTAGTGTTTTTATTTTGATTTATTATGAAGAATAACATCAAAAAGTAACCATTTTGAAAAAATTGCAAAATGTTTGTGGCGAGTTCATTTTGCTCTTAAAAATTAACCTAGACATGTGTTGCCATGAGTCCAAAAACAAAAGTTTCAGGAGACATGGTTCTGACCGAGAAATAATGGTTTAGGAAAATTTACTCACGAAATTATTGTACAGGGTGTTCAAACACAGCAATTTAAAGATAGCACTTTATAATTTAACACAGCACTTTAAAGATAGGGTAAAAACAACTCTTTGATTAACCCTGTATAATAAGTCAAATACTATAGTTTATACTAAACTGAGTTTACAAATTAAAGTTGGTATATGTATTTAAATACAGATTACTAATCAAGAAAATAGGGCTTAAAATAAAAAAAATATAACACTTTAAACTTCGCGAAAAATTTTCCATTGCGTTTTTTTTGCACTTGAGTGTAGATGCAGTAAAATAACATCTATTAAATAGTTCTGCTGAGTATTTTTTATTTTTAGATAAGAATTATTTAGAGATGATTCAGGAAAATGATTTTAATAATCCGCTCTCTCAGGATACTTTGATATTAATCCATGCCCTAGTCGAAAATTTAACCCATGGTGTGGATTTAGGATATAACATATTTATGAAGTACAGAATTTGTCGAAACATTGAGCTCCCTTATGATATCATAGTCTCAAGTACTGATCACATTAATATGCTGAAGTGTGCTTTACAAGAGGATTGTGCCAATAAGCTAGATGTGGTACACGATTTTCTCAAAGTGTTCCATTGGACCAAAGATCAGGTATGTAAAGTTAGTAAGTTGAACTGAATGTTATATCCTTTTAATTCAATTCATACTGCATTTATGTTCCACAAAATCACTATAATTATAATTTCCTTATAGTACTATCCCAAGTAACTATAAGATAAATCTTAGGGATATTGAAATTTTTATAACGTGCTATAAAACCATTAAATAATCCTTATACAACCAAAAAGGGCTCGTTTTATACGACAATTTGGTAATATAACAATTCTACAGAGTGTGCTCTTATGCTATTGTTTTATAAAGATTTATGCAACTACTATAAAACGGTTTTGTAATACATTATTATAGCAGTTTAAACATTTATTTTATTTTATAGTGAAAAATTATAATTTAAGCATGTTATGAATTTAATCTTGATTGTGAATTTGTAAAATGGAGTCTACTTAGACTAACGACTCAAACACGAAAATAGTTTGAATAGTATAAATTTTGTTGCACTGCAAAATTGACGGATTTTAGGAATGTCCTGGACAAAAAAAATTCTTCTTAAAATCTTCTTATTTTTAACTGATCTGAAGAGTTTCTTAATGTATTACTACAATCCCTTATATGTATACAGTGTATATCTTCTGTTATTTTTGACACTTCCACAGAACAAAACTACAACTAAATTTGTGCGGAAAGTTTTCTTTTTCAAGTTTTTCAACTATATCTACAACGTTTAATTTTTTAAGTCATTCCAATATCTTATTACAGATAAATGACTTTGTGTGTGAGCAGTTTGTGAATTCTGCTTCCAATTATTCTAAATCCAAAACAGCTAGTTATATCATGTGGGATGTTAGGATGGACACCAACTTTGACGTCATTCTCAAGCTCCTTAAAGACGAATGTTATACACTGGGATATAAGTTATATAATTATGCAGTTGCAGTACATGAACAACAGGTAATGCTTTAAAAATTCTATGATAATGTTCTACATTGTGGGCAATGAAACCATATTTTTTTCCTATTTTTTTTTAATCAAGGCTTATACATATTTATAGGTACCACTTGGTTTCACATAATAATATAACAATCTTTCACACAGTAATTTTTATAAATATAATAAATAATTTTTACAAACCCTTGATTTGATTACAGGTTACTGCTGAACTAAATTTTAAAATCAGCGAAATGTCTTTAGTGGTTGAACTTTTAATAGCAGCCCATTCCTGTTTTACGACAGATTGCAATATGGAAGGAATTTCTGTTATTTTAAGAAAGTGCAGGACAGTAATTTCACATCTATTGACTGTACGAAGTTGGAAACTTATAGTCAGATTGTTTACAGGTAAATTAATATATTTTTCTTTAATTTAAACTTATGTTCTAATAAGTATAATTGTTTTTATCAGGGGTAGCAAGATATACAGAACTGAATTTTGTTTTCGACATTTTAAAAGAAAACCATCAGTTTGAGTTTCTTTTAAGCAAAGGATCAAAGAGAGACAATCAATTGAGGCAGGCTAGTTTCGAATATCTTAAAAAGCACTGTCCTGAAGACAAAGAACTGTACCGATTGGTAGCGATTCACTTTAATATGTGTTCGGAAATAGCTAGCGTTTATGAGAGGGAAGGCTTGGCTCACATTAAACAGTTAGTGAGCGTTATTAAGACGGATCCTGTAAATGCTGCTTGTGCTACAGATAATCAACAATTGTCTTTAATTGGCAAGAACGAGACCAGTAGCTTATTACTACATAAGGTAAGTAATGTGTAAAAAATAGGTTAAGTTAGACTAGAAAATCATGTTAGAGGATAATGAATAACAAAGTAATCTTTGAATAATCAGTGAGATTGGAAGCTCTGGTGTTAAACCAGCAAAATAAAACACTAATATACCAAAACACTTTACTTTTAACACTAGCAGCGTATTTTGTTAGCTGTACAGTACAAGTGCGCTCATATGAGCACTCGGTTGGCATTTACCAAGCGTGACAAAATCATCCAAGCGAGACAAAAGCAATCGAGCGTTGTAATAATTAATTATGGAGACTTGACCAGGGAATAGAGAAGTTGAAGAAAGTGGACCATTATCCCTGTTCATATTATCTTTACATTTATTTAGTTTGACGCTTTCATATGCATCTAACTGCCTGTAATTTAAGACGTATTTCAGTAATTTTAAATTATTAACATCTATTCAATTATCTTTACCAAAAATATGTTGAGTAACACAAGATTTATCTTGCTCTACTATACCTTACAGTTGAGGGTTGGAACCTTTGGTGTTACACAGCAAAATAAAACACTGAATCACCACAATACACCAAAACACTTTTACTTTTACACTGGACGCGCGTTTCGCTAACCATGTTAGCATCATCAGCAGGTGAAGAGATGATTAAAAACTCTGTAGTTTTTAATCATCTCTTCATCTGCTGTTCTTCAAAAACTACAGAGTTTTTAATCATCTCTTCATCTGCTGATGATGCTAACATGGTTAGCGAAACGCGCGTCCAGTGTAAAAGTAAAAGAGTTTTGGTGTATTGTGGTGATTTAGTGTTTTATTCTACTATACCTTCCTTAGGCCATATGTTTTTTAAGTCTAGTTATTATTTATTATCTAGTTTTAGTGACAACCTAACCAACATATTTTTGATTACAATCCTAACATGAAATTTCAAAAAAATACCCGAACCATAAATACCGCAGAAGTTTAAAATTGAGATCCTTAAAAATACCAATATGTTATCGAGGCATATAATCTCACAGTAATTTAATAGATTGCTCGTCATATTATATCAATTCGTAGGAGATTAGGAAAAAAAAAGATATTTATAGTATAAAAAATTAATTTATTTAACAAAATTTAATTAAAGATGTGTTTTCTATTGGTTCTATCCGACTTTTTTCGACTATATAAATCTTTATTTTTTGTAAACTTTAATGCATAAAATATTTTCAATCTAATAAATAATTTAATGATGTAAATAAGAGGAAATTTCTCACATGGGTGGTCAAATTCTATAGTTTTCATTATATCAAACAGCCTCTGAATGTTTTCTTCAATGCAAAACTCATCAAAATTTAATATAAATAATTTTTCCATTTCCAGTAAATAAAATGAACAAAATTTTTCCACTTTCATGATCAAAGGCTTTTTTAAATGGGTAAATAATTTCGAGTTATCCAGAGATTCGGATTCTTTTGCAAATTTTAGACAAATATCACATTGATGTATTTGAAGACTCTTTTTAATGATGTAGTCAAACATAATTAAAGGCATTTTGAGTTGAAAACATTTCTCAGAGGCTGTTTGATATAATGAAAACTATAAAATTTGACCACCCATGTGAGAAATTTCCTCTTATTTACATCATTTAATGATTTATTAGATTGAAATATTTGATGTATTAAAGTTTACAAATAAAGATTTATATAGTCGAAAAAAGTCCGATAGAACCAATAGAAAGGTAACTATTTTGTCACATTTTTAATTAAATTTTGTTAAATAAATTAATTTTTTATACTATAAATATCTTTTTCTTCCTTATAAATAAACACATTTGCATCCCATTTTAAATAAGATATACAAATTACCAAAACTTAGAAATAACAGTTCAAAAGTTCAACAAAAATCCTACACCCGTTTTTAAAAAGAAACATATAACCACGCACTATGTCATTCCAGCAAGCGAATACGACACAGCATAGGTTTCCGGACTAAACGACTGGTGTATTTACACCACTCAGTAGGCGTGTGGGGTTTGCCGAGCGGTTTCCGATGCAGTCGCTTTCTTTCGCATCTGTTGTAGTTAATTTGTGACAGCTGCACATGTTTTAACTCTGTCAAATGGTATTGAAATATAATTTGATGTATCTTTATCCACTTGAAAAAAAGAATTGTACCTACGTTTTATTATTATATTTTATCAACTAATAAATAATGTCTTTATTAGCCCAACAGAAAAAAACTCCAATTGTAGAGCTAAGTAAGAATAATTATTACAGATATACATAACAATTTCTAAAATGAGAATTAACATAAATTTACCAAATCAAACCCTTATACATTTGATATTACAATATAACAAAAAGTCGAAACGATACATATTGCACTAGAGTATAATAAATTTGTGAGAAAAAACCATATCTAATTATTAAATTTATCAGAATACATACAGAAAAAAAGAAAAATTATAAACTCAATTTCTATTAACTGATGAAGAAGGATAACTACTACACTGCTATACAGGGTTGTTCACCACATACGACACGGAGTATTGTAGCTAAACGATTAGATTTTTACAAATTGTAAGTTTTGGGTTCGTTGAAGTACTATTAGAGCTACAATTTAAAAAAAAAATATTTTTACAAGATACAGAGTGTTCCAAATAAATAAAAACTATCAAAGTTGTATTTTTTTAAATGAAACACCCTGTATATTATTGCATTTTTAGTTTCTACGATTGAAATAAAGGTAAATTTGATTAAGGAAATGAAATTTGATTAACTGAAATAAAGGTAAATTTAATTTATTACACTTAAACCTTACCGTTTTTGAAATATTATCAATTCTGTGAAATTGCAGTATAAATTTGAAGGCTTCATTTCTCCGAGGGTATCAAAGTTTTGAATACTAAATATTTACTGAAGTTTATTTATTGATCAGTTATTGTGTTGCAATAATAAAAATTATACTACCCTATACAGAGTGTCTAAAAATTTATTTTAAATAATTACTAGCTTTAAGCGCCAATAACTTGTTTAATTTAAATGTAACACCCTGTATATTTTATGAGAATCAGATGCACAATTTAATTGTCTATCAAATAGTATTATACCACTTTTTACCTATCCCTTCAAGTTTTCTTAGAAAATGCATTTTCTTATAATTTAGACCTCATTTATCAATATACCCATGGATATTGACATTTTAGATTGTTTTTAAAACAACAAATGTACAAAATGTATAGTCTAGTAATATTATCGTTTTTAGTAAAACGATAATATTACTAGCCCATTTGTATGCAAAAAGAAAACTATTTAAATCTTTATAAAAGAGTATACCATTAATTAAATATACCACCAGTATTTCCGCCCAAATACTAATTAATTACATACTTAATTGTGTTCGTTAATAAATTATTCTAAATAAATGTGGATTTGAATCAGAAATCAATATAAGAATAAGTTATGAAAATGAACGTCTTTGTTATTATAAATAAGCATTTGTCAAAAAATTAAATATCATTTTTAAGGTGTTTTTTTACCACACTGTCTAATATACATACATAATCCAGTTTTTTAGTATTTGGAGCAATTATTATTAATCAACGCAAACAGTCAATTAATGTAGTTTGAATACTGGAATCATATTAATCGTAAGTATCATATTAATCGTAATTAAAGTATCTCTTTAAGAAATATTTTAAACAGTTTTTTTTATTTTTTAATGAAATAAACGAACTATATCGACAATATTAGTATCTGTACTCTTTAAAAATCTGGTACATCTTTAAAAATAATCTAAAATGTCAGAATTCCATGGGTATATTGATAAATGAGTTCTAAATTACAAGAAAATGCATTTTCTACGAAAACTTTAAGAGATAGGTAAAAAATTATATAATACAATTTGATAGACAATTAAATTGTGCATCTGATTCTCATAAAATATATAGGGTGTTCCATTTAAATTAAACAAGTTATTGCCGTTTAAAGCTAATAAATATTTAAAATAAATATTTAGACACTCTGTATAAGGTAGTAAAATTTTTATTATTGCAACACAATAACTGATCAATAAATAAACTTCAGTAAATATTTAGTATTAAAAACTTTGATACCCTCGAAGAAATGAAGCCTTAAAATTTATACTGCAATTTCACAAAATTGAAAATATTTCAAAAACGGTAAGGTTTAAGTGTAATAAACCTTAATCAAATTTACCTTTATTTTAATAGTAGAAACTAAAAATGTAATAATATACAGGGTGTTTCATTTAAAAAAATACAACTTTGATATTTTTTATTTATTTGGGACACTCTGTATCTTGTAAAAATATTTTTAAATTGTAGCTCAAATAGTCCCTCAACGAAGCCAAATCTTACAATTTGTAAAAATCTAATCGTTTAGCTACAATATTCCGTGTCGTATGTGATGAACAACCCTGTATATTCCTAATGTAATTTCCATTTATTTCATATCTTTTGTTTGTAAGGAGAGTACCAATAAGTCTATAAACTAGGGAATTTAAACTAGCCATCTTATGTTCAACACAATGCTAAAACTGACTAGGACTATATCTGTGTGTGTTTGTATAGATACATCAAATACCAAGCGACTATTAGTATTTCTAATAGCTAAAATACATCTAGAAATGGTAATCTAGCGTTGTTCTCAAATTCATAGGTAAATTTAATGGAAGGAAAATTATTATATAATTTTCAATTTAAACTACTTTTCGTCTTATCATATGTAATTCTCTTGTCGTAAATAACCTTATTTCAAAACAAAATTATTTTAGGCACTGGATTGTTACGTGTTAGCCGCAGAATACCACGTGGAAGGGCAGAAATTAGCAAAAGGGATGGCGGCAGCTAAACAGGCTGAATTAATTGCACTCCAGAAGTCGTTATTGAACCCTCTAAATCCCAACGAACAAGCCATATGTTTGTTTGATCTCAATACTGCACAAATAGCGTCACTTATTTCTACAAAGTTTAAGTAAGTTTGTACCACATTATATATTAACATTAATTATTTAGTGTTTGGAAGCCTTTCTACAGTATGTCCCCGGATTGTCTTTACAAGAGGCACACAAACTTTTTTTTATTGACATTTTGAGAAAAATGAATTCTTCATAAAAATGTTTGCTTGTTCTAAAACGGTTAATCCCCTTTATACTTTTCCAAGTTTCGATACGGTTTTAGAGATACAGTAATTACAAAAATCATGAAATTATGGTTGAATTTTAAAATTAAGTCGTAAAAATCAAAAGGCGTTTCTATGGTAATATAATTTAAAAATAACCCTTTTAATAGATGGTTATTTTCTTTTATCTATGATTAAAATTTATAGAATATCCTAGCAACAGCTTGCATCAGTCAGCTGTATTCATAGAAAAAAAACTAATAATTAGCTTCTTCTTCTTTCTTCTTTGGGTGCCATGTGCTATGCCGCACGTTGGCGATCATTCGTCTGTTTTATGGCTATAAGATGACTAGGGTGCCCTCTTATGTTGCGAAGCCAAGAATGCTGTTTTCGACCCGGTCCCCGTCGGCCTTCGATCTTCCCCTGCAGTATCAACCTGGGTATGGAGTATTGACGTCCCCTTAATATATGTCCTAGATATGATACTTTGCCTTGTTTTACGGTATCCATTAGTTGTCTGTGTACTCTGGCTCTTCTTAGGACTTCATCATTTGTTGCATGCTCCGTCCAGGGTATGCGCAGCAATCGGCGAAGTGTCCACATTTCGAAAGCCTCAATTCTGTTTATTGATTTTAACTTAAGTGACCAAGTCTCAGCGCCATACAACATCACAGGCCACACATACGATTGAATTACCCGTATCCTGGTATGTAGCGGCATATTTCTATGCAGGAGTAAATTCTTTAGTTTAAAGAAGGTTGTTTTTGCACGGCCGATTCTTCTTTTAACTTCCTCATCGCAATCCCACAGTTCATTTAGGGAGGCGCCAAGATAGGTGAAATTTGTGACCCGTTCGATGTTCTCTCCATTGATGTTAAGATGAGTGTTGTAGTGGTGTCTGCTGATCACCATCATTTTAGTTTTCGCAACGTTAATATGGAGCCCAAACTGTTCACCGCATTCGTTCAGTTTATTTAGCAGAATCTGGAGGTCCTCAAGGTTGTTATTGCGGTGTCATCTGCATAGCGGATATTATTTATTGGGATGCCATTGACTTTAATACCCCGCGTCTCACTCTCCAAGGCCATCTGAAAGATTTTCTCAACGTAGATGTTAAACAGAATGGGTGATAGTACACATCCCTGTCGAACTCCCTTCAATACGCTGAAGGTTTCCGTTGTTCGATCACCATCAATACGGATCTCCGCCGACTGCTGCCAATACAGTTCTTTAATTATTCTGATGTCCTTGCCATCTACGCCTATCTCCTGTAGTCTCTCCATCAACGGTTCATGTTTTAATAATTAGCTTATAAAACAATAAACTTTTACTTTGAATGTTGTAGACAATGATTCAATATTAAAATTAAAAGAATTTCGGATTTCCATTGTCTGTATTTATTTTGCTGACAAAAAACGTTTCGGTCAGCGATTCTTCTGACAAAACTGTAATATTGTGGTGAATAAAAATAATATATATTTCAGCTTTTATCAATCTAATATTATCACAGAAGCCTATAATTACATCCCCGACTGGCCGACTGTCATTTTCGAACAAACCATTAAAGAAAATCGCTTAGATTATTTCGACGCTTTTATGGAAAACATCGGAATTAACGAACAATTCGTTCAGGAAGTTTCTAGAAAATATTCGACCAGCAATTTGAAAGGGGTTATGTGCCATAAAAACATGGCCTACATAATCGCAAGCTTGAAATCGATTCACGTCAAATATCGACTGGCTAGCGAGCTGGGATTCACCGATCTGGTGGAAGAGTTGATCTCGACAGGACAAATCTCTTATTTGAGAGATACTGTATGGAAGAAAGGTTATAAAAGTTAAAAATATATTTTTGTTCCTGAGAATATGACAGTAGTTATTAATGAAACAGGCCATAGATAAATGAAACAGGTTTAGATTGGAAAGTGCCCATAAGGACGATGTAAATACTATTTGGCGCTGTTCTTGCAGCGGATGCGATCCACAGCTTTTGATAATTTCAGAACGGTTTGGCAGTTTCTGAAATTATATTATCGGAAAATATTTTTTATTCAAATTTAATGTTACTTTTTTTAACTTTTATTAATAAAATACACTGTATTATATATATAAAAAAAAAATTCAGACACGTATAGGGAATATGCTAGAAAATACATGTTTTACGTGCTCTATACTAAAGTGTGATGTCCATAAACAATAATTAAAATAATAGTTTTAATATGTGTTATTGTGTTTTGTCCAGTTTTAACAATTTTTAATTCTGTAGGAATCTACGTTCAAGAGACTTGAAAAAGACATATACTGTCGAAACGTCGTCATAAAAATAAAATAATGAATAAAATCTAGTAACATCTTTGCAACCCCAACGACCTAAAGCCAAGAATAAAAAGAAAAAAATATATATAATATTTTTACTATATTATAATTTATTTGTTAAATCAAAAAAATTGGCGTTATGTGCTTCATTGTTGGTGTTTAAAATGTATGTATTCATAATTTTATTTTGGCTATGCTACACTTCTAATGATCTAATAAAACATAAAATGTAGTAAAAAAGTCTATATTAATTATTTTATTTTTTCCAAATAATTTTGCTCTTGAATAACGTTACCGTTTTATTTAGTATTAATAAATAACGGAACGCTAAAATTATGTTATGCAAAAACTCTCCATTAGTTTCTTCCATATCACCAGGTGGCTCTAAATGACGGTCTACGGACTTAATTGTTTTATATCAGTGTCCTATCTATCTCTAGTAGTACATGACATTAGTCTATAATACTGACTTTGACAAGAGAAAATGCTTTCTGTCTTCGTTTGCGGTTGTTCTTCGCAACCGCTCACAGCGCCTTACAACGGATACGATCCAAAACAATTATAGGTTTTGGCGGTAATCCGAGCATTCCAGTCTAAATTTATTTTATTTATCTATGGTTATTTACTTCAGAAAGTTACCAGATAGTTACCATTCAGAAAATATATATATATATTCTTTTTATTTTTAAAGTTATCTATGTATGTAAAATGATTCAGTTACTATTTTATTTTTTTTTGTTAACTCTTAATAATTCTCTTTAAAATTAGAGTAACGTTGGTGCTACCTACCATATAAGTGTACTGTGTTTTGTGATGAAAAGTTTTTGTTAAATTTTTAAATCATTCCACGGTTTAAATTATATTAAGTAAAGACATGAAAACTTTTGATGTGATAATTATTTTTTTGTGTTTTAGTTTTATTTTTCTGATATTTATTTGACTATCTTTTCTAGTTCATTGTGTACCTGTATTTTCATTCTATTAGTCTTTATAATCTTCCAATATAGTTAGTTTAAGACCAATTATATGCCTTATTTAGATAAATATATTATTCATAATAATTATCATTTTTTTGCATGTTTCTTGATCAGTTTCTATAGATTGTAGATTTTTATATATTATAGAATTTGTATATCGATACCAAAATATATATATATTTTTTTATAAAGTCTAGTTAAGTTCAGTATATTTGATATAATAATAGACATGTCTATATTTTAAAATGTGCAATAAACTGTGATAATCGTGATCTTTGTTTATTTTTGCAAATAAGAAATAGTATATTACATGATTGTTGTACACAGCGTCCCAACTAGCAAAATTGAATTGTAAAAGGATTAAATTATTCTACAATAGTCTAATAGTGTTGTCTTAAGTACTGCATGTCTTTATTAAGCGTTTTACTGCAATAATTTTGTTTTATAATGCAAATTTTATATGTCTTGAGGGAATGTAACTGAAGACGTATTTTTTATCAAACTATATAGAGAATCTATACTAATATATAAAATCCTTAAATGACTGACTCACTGATTAATCACGATCCTGCTCAAACCACTCAACGTAAGAAGCTCAATTTTGGCATACAGGTTGATTCTAGGGTGTAGAGGTTCGATAAGAAGGGCACTGTTCGGTTTTTATATGATTCAAAATAAAAAATATATAAATTGTAAAATTAGTAATTTTTTAATGGTCATAATGCATTCTTTCAAAATCATCGAACAACTAAATCATTTCCATAGATCCAGTGACGTACCGTGACTTTGAATTTTGAGACCAAAAACTGAAACAATAATTTGTCAAAAAAATCATATTACAGCTATATGTTTTATTTTGCATAAAAATGTTAACTAATAAGTTAGAATAATTATAATTCTTCTCTAACTAAGTGGTTTTATCGCTAAATTTAACTAAAGCTAAGTACAACACCAATCTTAAATACGTGGACTATTATAACAACAAATACATCGTAAAAGACTGTTTTGGTAGCATTCTGAACTAGAATTCAAGTTAAACATTGTAGAAAATAATTTAAAGAAAAAATATTAATTCAGTTAATATTAATTTTCGTATACTGCTCAGATTTATCTGGTCTTCTATCATATATTTTGGAAATTAGAGAATTACCTGAAGATTTTCATCTAAAAATTGGCATTGATAGTGGTGGTGGATCACTTAAAGTTTGTCTGAATGTGCTCCCTGAAAATGATCCCGAATATTTCAAGAAATATAAAAGTGCTGGAATTAATAAACTATTCATAATTGGCTTAGGACCAAAGTTGTCTGAATGTTATGCTAACATTAAAAGCCTCTTTGAGACGTTAGATTTGCAGTCCATATGTGGAATTTGTTCCTATACTTTTGCCGCTGACCTTAAGCTTATTATGATTCTCCTTGGTCTTCAGTCAAATTCATCCACTCACACTTGCCCATGGTGTGATGTAAATGTAAAGGAAATGGAAATTAAAGGATCATTCAGAACTATAAAAAGTATTACAGAAAATACAAATTTATGGCAACAATCTGGAGGAAATATAACAAAAGCCAAAGATTTTAGTAAGCGTTTTTCTTTGAAATACTTTTTATGTATTTTTTAAACTGTTGTTCAATGAACCATATAAAAAAGGGCAATTATTTTTTAGAAAACTGTATAAACATACCTTTAATCATTGGCGACGAAGAAACACTTGTCTTAAAGTATATTCCCCCTCCTAAGCTTCACCTTTTGTTAGGCGTGGTTCAAAAACTATTTGATTGTCTTGAATTGGAGAATACCAATGTTGCAACAGAATGGATAAAAAAAGCGGGATCGAAACTAGATCATTGTAGAAAATGTAACGGAAATAACGCCAGACAACTTTTAAAGAAAGTGGATATTTTGAAGACGATATCGCCCGGTAAAGAATCCTATTCAAAGTTTTTAGAAGCAAAAACCTAAACATCTTTTTTTAGGAAATAAATATATTGCAGTGTTTTCTGCATTCAATCAAGTAGTTTCGAGTTGTTTTGGTCAAGCACTAAACAAACATTTTGAACATGGCATCGAACAATTTAGATTGGAAATACTCAACTTAGGTATTAAGATAACTCCAAAGATTCATGCAACTCTGCATTATGTGCCAGAGTTTATAAAAGCAAATCATAGAGCTCTAGGATTTTACTCGGAACAAGCATCTGCGAGCAGGTTCATTTTTCCTTTAAATTATTTTCTAAAACGTTTAAATAGTCTTTTACGATGTATTTGTTGTTATAATAGTCCACGTATTTAAGATTTGTGTTGTACTTAGCTTTAGTTAAATTTAGCGATAAAACCACTTAGTTAGGGAAGAAATATAATTATTCTAACTTATTAGTTAACATTTTTATGCAAAATAAAACATATAGCTGTAATATGATTTTTTTGACAAATGATTTGTCAGTTTTTGGTCTCAAAATTCAAAGTCACGGTACGTCACTGGATCTATGGAAATGATTTAGTTGTTCGATGATTTTGAAAGAACGCATTATGGCCATTAAAAAATTACAAATTTTATAATTTATATATTTTTTATTTTGAATCATATAAAAACCGAACAGTGAGGGATTTTTCGAAATTCCAGTTCCAAGAGGGTGAAGCCACCGCTCAAATATTACGATATTTTTAAAAAACGGTCAAGTTTCCGAAAAAACGCTTAAACACGTATATTTTATTTTGTTTTTCTTACATATTTTAAGATTTTTTAAAAATATATATAGGGTGTTTCGAAAAATCTGGTCATTGATTAATCACGATCCTGCTTAAAGCGCTTGACGTAAGAAGCTAATTTTTGGAAAATGGATTGACTTTAGGGCGTAGAGGTTCGATTTCAGTAAACAGAGATATAAACCACATAAAAAATTCATTAATAAAAAACGACTATCCACCATATTTTATTGATAAAACATTAAACGAAATACAAGCCCCAAATCATAGACAATGATAACAATACACAATATATACAACTTACAATTCCATACATACGAAGAGTTTTGGAAAAAATAAGGATAGGAAAACAATATAACATACGAACATCTTTCAAAACACAAAATACTTACACTTAGATCCATTTTATCACATACTAAACCAATGAATACAAAACAACCGAGAACAACAAACAAAAAATGTAATTTATATATTATATACCATGTGAGTGCGATAAATTTTACATTGGTGAAATATCTAGACCCTTAAATGTTCGAATTAAAGAACATAAAGATTATTTAAGAAAGGGAAAGATTTGTTAGCATTCATGAGACACAGGACAAATAACGCCAAAATTGTAATGAAAGAAGCGATAGCCTCTAAAAGAAAAATAAAAGAGGCTTTTTAATACAATCTAATAAAAATAGATGTATTGCTCATGCATCTGTAGATGTTAGTAATGTATGGCAATGGCTTCTTTGGTTTTAAAGAACATAACATAAATAAACATAACATACGTAAAAATTAAAAATAATCATACAGAAAATCTGGGGCTTTTTGGTTTTACAATATTAAGTAATTTTTATCAGGTAGTAATTGTTAATTTTTTGAAGTTTAACTTGATATAATGTCATTTTAACAAAACGTCAACGTTTTTTTGTAGACGTATCTGTTTTAAAAAAGTAAGTGTTCTCGAATTGTTGAATTGAAATATTTTAAATAGTTTTTTTCTTTATTCTTTGTATTTTTTTTGCTTCCGACGACGGAAAGAGATAGTGTTCGTGCTTAATAAAAGAATATTCTACATTTACGAAAATCACCGTTTAAACACTTTTCTATACACAAAAAAACAATTTTATAAGACCAAACTTGGGATATGTTTTAAGAGCATGAATAAGTGCTTTATCGAGTAGATTTAAGGTCTTTAATTTAAATCTACTTGATAAAGAACGTGAGAAATTTGATTAAAGCTTCTAGTTAATATTTTCAACTGTTTTTATACTAGCATCTAATAAGATAAATTA